CAGGAATGCAACACCAGCCTATGAAACTCAGTACATTCCTCCAGTGCACCAGTTCCACTCAGCTCTGTTAAATAAAATCTTCTTGCAATAAGAATGGCCATACTGGGTCAGACCAAGATTAATCTATTGTGGAATTAAAATCCATTCCACTGTAATTACATGATCTATTGCATGTCACCCACTCCCATCTTATGGGGGTATTCTTATCTCATAGAACTGGAAAGGACCTCAAGAGGTTATTGAGTCCAGTCCCCTGCCCTCAGGGTAGGTACAAGTACCATCCCTGACAGATTTACCCCAGATTCCTAAATGGTCCCTTCAAGGATTAAACTCAAAACCCTGGATTTAGCAGGCTAATGCTCAAACCACTGAGCTATCCCTCCCCTGACAAACAAGAGTCAGTGACACCACTCCTGTATATTTCGCTAACAGCCATCGATGAACCTAACCTTCATGATGAATCTATCTAGATCTTTTTTGAACCCTACTAAAGTCTTGGCCTTTACAACATCCTTTGACAAGAAGTTCCACAGGTTGACTGCAATGTGTGAAGTATTTCCTTTTATTTTTAACCTGCTACCTATAAATTTCATTTTGTAAAAACCCCTTCTAACACCTAAAAACTTTCCAACTAGTCATGGTTTTGGAGACCTCCATCAGAACATTCACACCTTTAGTCATCTCTTTTCCAAGCCGCAGAGTCACAGTCTTATTGATCTCATGGATTTAGATCAAGGAAATAAGATATTTTCTGTCTTATTCTCTCTCCCTTTCTCAAAGGCTATGTCTACACTTCAAGGTTTTTGTACAAAAACGTGTAGAGCTTCCACACCTCAAAATGTACTTTTGTGCAAGTAAATCGACAGTGAAACGGCAGAACAGAGGACTTTTTCCAGTTTAGGTAAACCTACTTTTACGAAGCATAACTCCTTTTTGCACTACAGCTATTGCACAAAATGGTAAGTGTGGACTCTCCACAAGGGTTTCTGGCACAAATAGAGCCTATCCAAAAAAAGCACAGGTGCTCTGATGGTCATTCTGTGAATGGCCATCAGAGCTTTCTTGCACAAAATGTCATGCAGTGTGGACACTCTCTTGTGCAAAACCAATGCACTTTGAGGTGTGGACATGCTTTTGCACAAGTTTTTGTGCAAGAACTCTTCTGCAAAAAGACTTCTTGCACAAAAACCCTGTAGTGTAGACATAGCCAAAGATTCCTAACATTCATTTTACTTTTCTGGCAGCTGCTATATGAGTGAGTGTTTTCAAAAAACTACACACAATGAAGACAAGATTTCTCAAGTAGTAATGGTAAATTTAGTCCCCAACATTTTTAAGCATATTTGAGATTGTTTTCCAATATGCATTACTTTGCATTTATCAACATTGAATTTCATCCATCATTGTTGCCTGGTTTTGTGAGATTCTTTCAAAGTGCTTCCCAGTCTGCTTTGGTCTTAGCTATCTTGGGGTATGTCTACACTACAATGTTAGTTCGAACTAACGGACGTTAGTTCGAACTAACATTCCTAGGCGCTACACTAGTGCTCCGCTAGTTTGAATTTGAATCGAACTAGCGGAGCGCTTAGTTAGAACTAGGAAAACCTCATTTTATGAGGATTAAGCCTAGTTCGAACTTACTAGTTCGAATTAAGGGGTGTGTAACCCCTTAATTCAAATTAGTGGGAGGCTAGCCCTCCCCAGGTTTCCCTGGTGGCCACTCTGGCCAACACCAGGGAAACTCTATGCCCCCCGCCCGGCCCCGGACCCCTTAAAGGGGCACGGGCTGGCTACGGTGCCCGTGCCAGGTGCAAGCCTGCCAGCACCCAGCTAGCAGACCC